GAATCTTTTTTTACTCTTGGATGGTTCGTCCTCGAATCGATAATTGATGTTGTTTCCTCCCTCATTTTCGACGCTCAGGGTGAAAGGATTTCTGACAACCGTTTGGGAGAAAGCAAACAATGAATGAAAGCAACCGTATTATTCATTAGTCCTAGAATTGTAACAACCAGCCAAGTGAGCCGTGAGGTGGCCCTCAATTGGAAGTCTACGTGGATCTGTCCTCCGCGGCTCGGACGAGGCGAACAACCTCGGAATTGTCCTCAAAGCTCCTGACACTTGGGCCCCCTTGTCTTCAGACATACCATTTTGGAGAGGCGCAGGTTACCAGTTAGTTCACAGGCTCTAATAGGATGTCCGCGTGCAACGGATGTGCCACCATGATTCTCGGAAATGATAGTGGTTTCCCGCCAGGATTTCGGTTCCGGCCGACGGACGAGGAGCTGCTGTGTTACTACCTCAGGCGGCGCGTGGAGGGCCTTCCCATCGCATGGAATTCGATCGGCGACGTGGATCTGTACAAGTTCGAGCCTTGGGAACTGCCAGGTATCGCCCTCAATTCTGAAGTGTCCTCTGCCCCGCACTCCTCACCACACCCCTAAAAACTTGTTGAATGCTGCACCTTTTAGTATTATAGACATCTCCTACTTATTGCATGGAAGCTTTTCGCGGAGCTGACTACGCCGTCTCGCAAAAGCGTGGGGAAAAAGACAAGCAACATGAAGCCCCAATTCAGCAGACGAAGATTCATTGTTTTCTAGGCTCCCCGGAAAAGCTTTTGATAGCAAGAACCACTTTCACATGCTCCCCTGAACCTAGAACAGGAAAAACGACAAAATTACATAGCTGTGGACGGTGCTGATTCATCCCCATATTCAATGACAGTCCTCACATCTCCCAATTACCTGATGCCAATAAACCACAAACTCCCACAATCATCACCAAAAAGTGTGACTCGGAAATGTAGCTGCGTAGCTAAGCTATCCAGGGGTTCTCTTTCAGGTCCCTAATATATCCAAAAAGAGTCTTTCGCAAATTTTAGGACTACGGAACCTGTCCGTAATGTATCCAGAATGAGAGCTGAACAAAATTTGTCCAGAAAGAGTTTTCAACAACACTTTGAGCGGAAGGTAGGCGGATCGCTACTTGCTGGGTGCGTTATTATATGTTCCCTTAATTGTCACCTGAAACATTGTTCTCCTTGAAACCTTCAGAACTTTCCCTTTTCCAACTCTTTTGCACATACCCTGATTCACTACATTTGCCCTGGTGGCCAATTGGTTACAGGTCTCAGCTTTCGAGCAGCCTACTTCTCATCGTTTCGCGGAATATGCGTCACAACCAGGCTGCCTTCACACGCAGGGAACCGGGTCCGCAGCTTGCGAAGTGGTTGCACCAAACCTCAAAGACTGCTCATTTCTTGATACTGCACATTTATGCGCTTATGGAGTTGGTGCGCAATTCAATAACCAGAGAATCAACTCCCACTTCTGGCGCATGGGGTTGGTTCAGCCTTAAGCACAACTTTCGCTTGAAGCGACTTGAAGAACCTCTCTCCCCATCGCATTACTGCCCGCAGCTTCGATAACACCCGGAGAATCAAGCTTCGCTTCAACAGACCGAAACTGGTCCTCCATTGCCTCAAGAGGCCTCACAAAGCCCTCATCTCTCCCTCTCATCCCCTCTTATCTCTCTCTCTCGCCTGTAACTCCATTCCCGGTCAGAATAAAAGATGGCTGGTCGCTGCACCAGTGGAGTCTCCTTGGCTACGAGAGGCCCCAAGCACCCCTTCTCATCCACAGCAAATTCCCCTGATGCTGCCGACGTCAGTGGTTCTTTCTCACCACCCTTTCTCTCCTCATGTCCCTCCCTCTCCGCCAATCCCAGCCAGAGCAACTTGCACTATTCCAAGCGATGGAGAGTGGTTCTTCTTTGCAGCCCGCGACCTCAAGTACCCATCGGGGTCCCGATCCAACCGTGCCACAGCTGCTGGGTACTGGAAGGCCACTGGGAAAGACAGGCCAGTGCACGTGCGGTTTGCAGGCAACGCTGAAACAGAGGACCAGACAATCAGAGTGGGATTTAAAAAGACTCATGTCTTCTATATGTGAGTACCTTGTTCATGTCTTTGGATTGTTTGGCCATATGATGTTGCTGTTCCATCGCGTGTCTTGCCTGAGCTTCATTTCCTTCTTTTAGACTGGTTTGCTCAAAACTTGGATTGGTTATATTCAAATTTAGATTTTGTGAGCGTGTTCTATACGGTTCGGTTGGGCTGTTCTTCAGTTTGTTTGTGTGTGTGTGTGTGTGTATGCGCGTGCGTGTGTGTGTGTGTATGTGCGTGCGTGTGTGTGCATGCGTGTGTGTGTGTGTGTGTGTGTGTGTGTGTGTGTGTGTGTGTGTGTGTGTGTGTGTGTGTGTGTGTGTGTGTGTGTGTGTGTGTGTGTGTGTGTGTGTGTGTGTGTGTGTGTGTGTGTGTGTGTGTGTGTGTGTGTGTGTGTGTGTGTGTGTGTGTGTGTGTGTGTGTGTGTGTGTGTGCGCGCGCGCATGCGTGCGTGCGTGCGTGTGTGCGTGCGTGGGTATGTGTGTGTGTGTGTGCGCGCGCATGCGTGCGTGTGTGTGTGTGTGTGGGTGTGTGTGTGTATGTGCGTGCGCGCGCGTTTGCGCGGAGGTGCGTGTGGAATGAGGAAATGCTAGTTGAAAATGCCTTCCATTAATTTTTTTTTTCTTCTTTAACTTCTTCTGTGTTGTGGCAACAGGGGGCGAGCGCCAGGAGGCGACAAGACAGACTGGGTCATGCACGAGTACCGGCTGACAGAGGACTCGCCTGTAGTTGTACCTGCTGTTACTGACGAGGCACATGCTACAGTCGCAAATTTCGAATTAAACCCAGGATTAGCTGCAGGCCCAGCTTCTGCCCATGAAAGCATCGCAGAACGTGTAAATACAGTAGGTGGTATCCGAGGCAGTACTTTCACTGGCAGGAACAGCAGCAGAGAAGATGAAACGTCCAACCCAGACACCCACATCGCGAAAAAACCAAGCACATAAAGTTGCTTCTCCGCAGCTTCAAAGTTGCTTTTCCGCAACTCTTGTTTCGCAAAAAAAAAGTCTAGGTCAAAGGCTTCTGGGTCAGGGTTACAGGGAAAGTGGTTTTCCCGCAACTTTCCCGCAGCTTTTTGGCAGCGTTTCCGGCAACATGGCCGCAACACGCACGGCGTCATATGGGTCGCTTCTACGTCATGTAGCTGCTAGTGACATTTGCGTCACCATGCGGACACTCTACGGTTACACCTGTGTGTTGCCACATAGCTGCCGATTAGCATACATGAAGTCACTATTCCACGTGAGCATAATATTTGCACGTGTACTCACGCTTTATGACACGTGGATGCCAAACCATAACGAATTGTATCGTGCCGCATGTACGGTCGAGATGGCCACAGTTGTACGCACGCGATTGTCGCGTGCCAACTCCGCTATGCCAACCGCAACACGGCACATGGCCGCACCGGATACGCCGTCAACCTCCAGATCTCACGCCCATACGCCTCATATCTACCGTCCGTCCGATACAAATGTCATCCCACGATTTGTAGTGGAATCCACCTGTACCTACACACGCCGTCCGTTTGGTGATAGGGTCTTCCAACTAGGACTACTGATACTAATCGCACGTTCACACGTACTCGTCGCAGATCTCACGATAACACACCAGTGACCATATCCATCACACACGTGGCAAATAGCCATTAGACACCGTCGTCGGGCAAACAAAAAAGCCGCGGTTCATTGATGAGCGGTTCGGCAGATTGTACGGTTGCCCTATATCCACGTCTCTAGAATAGCGTTACATCTAACGGCTCCTATTTACCCCGCCGCATTTGTCGCCGCGATTAGCGCCGCATTTGTCGCCGTACTGCGCGGAATGCTGAGAGTTGCGTTTCAACCGTCCTCGTGTCCAACATGCGCAATGTCTCCGCTAGGTGTGCAATATCGAACATACATGTCACCGATTTACTGCACAAATGCATAGAACCAACGACAACCACAACCTGTCCCCACTAAACCACTACACTAGTTGTTATAGATTAAGGATCGAGTCTGTGAAGATTAGGAGCCTAAATTTCTCAAAATCGTTGGCTTGAAATTCTGGACAGAATCGTCGAGTTCACAAGAAACGTCGTCGGCTAAACTTGCACTGTTGGAATTGTCTCAAACTCGAGTATGTTGTAGCGTGTAACCAGGGCTATCTTTCCCAATTTGAATCGTATCAAATGGTGGAGTAAATCTCGAGTTATGATTTTCGGCGCACTAGGGGGTATGCTGCCACATGCTTAACTCAATCACAATGGTTCTCACAAGTTCCACAAAGTTACACACAAGAGAGTTAGGGTAGCACTAAACCAGGTAGGAGGGAAGAGGAGGACAAGAGGGAAGGTCCCAAGAGATTCCCCAACCAAGGAAACCCCATGCCACACAATTCCCTTCCCCATAGGCAACCCCACTTTCACATTTGTCACTTTCCCAACTCATGCCATCCACCTCAACCCACTTGGCCACACTTGCCAACCTGGTTTGGCTTCACCCAACCACATGGCAGCATTCTACAGTGATGGGTTCGAATTCCCAACCCCCAAAAGTCTGTACCCCATATTGAGTCAACCCCACAACTTCCCATAGTCGCCACAACCGAAGTACAGAAAGCATACGAACTCCAACGTTCGTAACTTTCTTGATATTGCTCCGATCGCGACGATTCTTGGCTCGTTGGAAAGATCTTGAGTAGAGCTGTCACTTCGGATATCTGCTCAAGCCAAATAACATTCACACACACACTCAGAAAATCCAAACCACAGAAAAACACAAATTCTTGCGCACGCTCATTTCACACATGCAACGCACGAATACATGATGGGAGGCAGACAGACGTGAATGCAAATGATAGCATCACATAACACTAGTCTACGACACACAATTGGATTAAACACACAATCAGGAAGTCAACCATCTGTTTCACTATCCGATGCCTCCGACGCGGAGGACTCATATTTTTCGTCTTCGGAGGCTGCTTCATCTTCCAGGAGGCATTCCAGGCCGCAAGATGAAAGGCGGAGCCCATGCCTGCCCCACTTCCAGGACTTCTTCTCCTCGTCGTAGGGCACTTCATTCCGGCATACTGCATCCGCAATGGCATCGAAGGCCAGCTTCTGAATCCTCTGCACAGAAGCGCCATTCTCGCACGGAGAGTTGTGCAGTTTCCCCTTGCGCTTCTCCCAGTTGACAATGGCGTCCGTGATCTGCGACCGCAGGAGAAGCCCATTTACAACGGCGAGTTGAAGGAAAGTGGCTACAAAATATGTTCGCATCTGTGTAAACGTACAATGTGCTCGAGCCACGACAGGTGGTACAGCTTTATAGTTGTTTCTTTGTCCTTCCGCTTCCCTCCGAAAGCCGCGATGGCACATGCCGCGAACGCTCCGGATGCAAATGGCAGTCCATCCTTGCTGATGTGCCACTTGCACAAGGTCGGGTCCCCTGCGCACGTGGAATGCAAAAGGGGTACAACGATACCGCGTACGGAAAAAGGGGAGGGTTCAAAGACATGTCTGGTCCACTATGGCACGAAACAGGAGTTGCGGCCATAATCGCTCGGGCCATATGACAAGCGAACACGCACCATCCTCTGGGACAGGGACGCAATATCTCTTTCGGGCACGCTCCCCAGTGCGCTCCGTCTTATGTGCCCAAGGACTGGCCCTGTCCTCGTCGTCACGGAAAAGACCAATTCGTGGAAGAAAAACTCTGCGAGCGCGTCCAGCCAACCCTGTTTTGTACTCGGACAAGGTCTTGTTCAGATCCTGCCGTCGAGCCTTATCAGCGTCTAACGCCAGAGTCGCAGTTTTGGGAGAAATGGTGGACACGACATGGCATAGGCCCGCGTTTTTGGCGTCGCGACTCGGGTAGAAATCCATCTTCTCGTTCGGGGCTTCTACAAACAGATAATCCTTAACCATGTCGCAAACACCCTGCGACATTGAAAATAGTTGTACGGGGGGGGGGGAAACGGTGACGAGATATGTAGTGTATCCAACAACTGTGCCTCGACGTGAGCAGAACACACTATGCGAGGCCTCACCTTCCAAGCCTTCTCCACTGGAAGGATGTCAAGGGCGGTTTGGAGCACTGGCGACTTGTCGTGACGCGCGTGCCGTGCCACTTTCGCCGGCAAGTCGTCCTCATCGCACGTTGATTCTTCGTCATCATCTGACTGGCGTTTCCGCTTCAAAGCTTCTCGGCCGAGCGAAGCTGCGGCACTTGTGGACGCCCGCTTGCGCTTACGCCGTTCGCCAAGGCGGATGATGGTCAGTACGTGTGACTCAAGACGAGCCAGTGTCTTCGCGGTATCATTCTGGGAATCACGCAACGCATCAAATTCCACGCGTGTGGCTTGGCCATCGGCTGCATCTATCCGCTTCCTCGAATGTGGCGCTTTTGTGGCCTGCTCCTCCTCTGATCCGTTCTTGCCACACGGATCGTTGCTTGACGACTGACCACCACCGTTTCCTTCCTCGTCGTCCTCATCTTCGCCTTCCATTAACTCGTCTATCAGGCGTTCCTTCACGGCCTCGGTGTCCTCCTCCCCTTGCGGTGCGATGGCGACAATGGGCGTGCAGGCTGCCTCCGCGTCGACGGCCCCGACAGCGTTGGCGCTGCATATCTGCAGCCGCACTTCTCGAGTCTCTGTGACCAGTTGCGTGGTAGGTAGAAGGGTGTGTAGATTGCGTGTGCATACGGCATATATCACCACAGACAAGCATTAGCAGTGATACATAAAATGCAACGCACTTGTCACGTCACAAATGCTACCTTCGTCATGCCCCGCGTTCTCTTCCGCCGCGCCACATTTTCCTGTGCTTGTTTTACGCCTCTTGGGTTCCGCTAGGGGTCGTCCTTTCTTCTTCCGCTCCCCGTATTCATATGAATCAGCTAACCATGACGGCGCAGTCTTCGCCCGCTTGGAACGACCGCCGTCGGTGGGAGTCATATCGACCTCTAGCGGAGACAGCATCTCAGACCGCATACACAGCGGGTTGGAAATGGCGTAGCTCTAAACCACCCCGGGGTTCTACCCTCGCTCGCAACAGTCCCCTTACCACTCTCTTGTACATCGCAATGTTCGATAACGGAGTTTGTCACCGCACTAGTTGCCTCACGCTCTTGGCCACGCGCACAATTCTACACACGTCACGGTTAGAGTGGCCAGTTTGATTACCGACAAATGTCAGCCACACTTTCCACACGTAACATGTCACCGTGCCAGGTTTGTCACATCGTCGATGCTCGTCCACGTTTCTGTCAGATGCGTTACTCCAATTATACACCCGCTTTTTTCACCATTTGCTACTACCCCCAACCGTTGTTACAGTTTCAAGATGTGCATCGTTTAAGCGTTCTTTGTCATATATTTACATCTCCAGGATATAGACACTTCAATAACGTGGTCGCTGCGATGCTTACATTTCCAGATTCGGCTACCCGCCACAAGGTCTAAGTCCTATCAGTATAAGCACACAACTAGAACAACCCCGGGTCCAATGGCCACCCTGATTAGTGCTTCATGCAACACCCTCTGCACGGTTGACATCCTCCCATCCATCATCTTCGCCGAAAGTATCGGATCCAGGTTCATACACAGCATCATCGTCAACGGACTCGTCGTCATCCGTGTAGTCCTCTGTTCGGTCCTCTGGCTCTTCAGCCATAGGCTGGTCCTCTGTAGTCGGCGTGATCGCCTGCACCTCCTCAACGTCACTACTGGCCCGGGACGCTCTGCCCTTTCGCCGCGATCGGGTCTCGACCGCCTGCGCATCGTCCAGGCCAGCCATTGCGGCACGCCACTCCCTCCATCTGTTCCAGCGCCTGTACTTCACGAGTAGCCTTAGGATCTCCTCTGTGCAACCGGCTAAAGCCTACCTGTCACCGTCGGACAGCTCAACCGTGCAGCTGATGCGTGAGTTCGGGCGAAGTACAACGGCTGCCGCAGCATACGCGTATGACGCCTCGTCCTTGTCCTCGTACGACCCCAGACGAACCTGCTGACGGCGAGCAGATATGATCCGGACGTAGTACCTCTGCTTCTCTGCGTTCCACATAACTCCCACCCGGCCGCTGCTTGCGACCCGCCCGGGGTTACCTGGAGCTGCGGGCACGGGAGTCTTAGCGCGACTGCGCAAAGCCACTGCAAGCTGGTCGCGCTGTTGTTGCCTGACCACAGCAGGTGTCGCGTCTCCGGCAGTAACTTGGCTATCTTTCACGGCAGGTGTGTGAGGTGCAAGACAGGGAGAGATTTGAGAAGAAGTGAACGAGAGAATGTGTGAACTATGAACGAAGTGAGTACAAATAGGAAACCCTAGCTGGGTTGTACCCCCTATGGGATACCCCACTATAGCCTACACAAATAAGTAAGCTATTATGTTCTGACACACCCCCATAGGCGAAGTGGGGGAGAACAAGGGGTCACAAGACCAGTCAAGCAAAGCAAAGCAAAGCTCAGGGTGGATCACAAAGTCACCACACATTCCGAGCACAAGTTCAAGGGCCACAAGGCCAGTTCACATGCAAGATCATATATAGACATATACAAGAGTCAAGCAAGCAAGAGCAAGACTATATATATGTGAAGGTACAAGTAAGGTCAAGAAGTGAGCAAGTGAGGCAAGACAAACACAAGACCCAGCTGCGTGCAGCAACGCTGATGATCACAAGGCGGAAGTGCCTTGGTGAAGACATCAGCAGTGTTGGCCTCAGAGGCCACGTACGCAAGTCGCAACTGTCCACGCTGCTGTAGCTCACGAGCAAGAAAGTAGCGGAGAGCAATGTGCTTCGTTCTGTGCTCCAGTCCCTGCTCTCGACACAAGGCCAGCATGGCCTTGTTGTCTACGTACAGGACTGGAGGAGAACGAGGCTGCTCTCCAAGGTCGGTCAGCAGGTAGGTGAGCCAGCGTAACTCCTGTGCAGCCATAGCCCCAGCGTAGATCTCAGCCTCACAACTGGAGCCGAGAATAGAAGACGAGCAGGTAGCCCGCCACGAAACAGAGCCGGAACCAAGGCTGAAGGTGTAACCCTGTGACGACCGCTGCGTAGCCTGGTCGTCAGCCCAAGAAGCGTCTGCGTGCCCAGTGAGGACCACTGGACTGCGCCCTCCAAGCACTAGCCCCATGCCCGACGTACTGCACAAGTAACGCAACACCCTCTTCGCTGCAGCCATGTGCTCTGGTCGGTGTCTCCCAGGAGCAACATAGCGTGCGAGAATGCTAAGAGGGTATGCAAGGTCAGGTCGTGTGCAGGTCATCAGGTACATGAGGCAGCCAACAAGCTCTGCAAACGGGCCACTCGACTCTACGGACTCATCCGAAGGCAGAGCTGAGAGCGAGTGGCGAGTAGGCAGAGGAGTGGCCTGAGGCGAGGAGTACGTGAAGCCGAAGCGCTGAAGGACCTGCTGCACCATGTGTGACTGAGTCAGGGTAATGGTGCGGCGTGCTCTGTCCCGGGTGATCTTCAAGCCAAGGTAGCTACGCAGTTCACCCAGGTCAGTGCACGTCTGTCTCTTCTGCAGCTCGGACTTCACGTGGGCGAGTCCAGCAGTGTCAGCTGTGGCAAAGACCAAGTCATCGACGTACACGAGGATGTAGAACGGCGGCAGCGAGGTGTCGGTGCGCAGAAACAGCGACGGGTCGGCAGTAGAAGGAGCAAACCCAAGTGCCGCGAGCGTAGTCCTCAGTGTGTCGTGCCACTCACGTGGCGCCTGGCGGAGACCGTAGACTGGACGCCGGAGACTCCACTGGGTACCAGGAGGGAAAGACCCAGTGAAGCCAGGTGGGCGACGCAGCCAGATCTCCTCGTGCAGGCTGCCCTGCAAGAAAGCGGTGCTGAAGTCGAGAGAGTGGAGCTCGTAGTCACGGTGAGCAGCAGCGTGCAGTAGAACCCGAAGAGTGGTCATCTTCGGGGTGGGGGAGAAGGTCTAAAAGTAGTCAACCCCCTGCCGCTGACTGAAGTCACGAGCCACGTAACGCGCCTTGAAGACAGGCGGAGAACCCGGCGGCCGCTTCACCCTGAAAATCCACATGCCACTGACTATGTTCACCCCAGGAGGGGGAACAGCGTCAACGTAGGTGCCTGTGGACTTCCAGGAAGCCATCTCTGCATCCATAGCTGCCTGCCACTGAGAGGAGTAGGGACCCTCTATCGCCTCCGCGTAAGAGCGCGGAGTCGGGATGTCTGGTGCATCCGGGTCTCCCTCAGGGGCTAGCAGTACAGACGCGAGATGAGGTGAAGCGGCGGCCAGACACTGGAACTCCTCTTGCCTGTCCTCAAGGACGTCCGTGCCAAGGGCACACTCACCCCCGACGGACGGAGGACAGGCAGACTCAGACTCAGCGACAAGACTGGTAGCGTAGTCTAGACAACAGTGCGCAGCAAAGTCGACAAGCTCAATGACAAGGGCAGACGCAGCAGACGACTCGAAGGAAGGGTCAGTGACAGCAGTAGCAAGGAGACGCGTGATCGTAGGACTGGCAGCACGTTGAGAGTCCGACTCCGGGTCGGCAAGAGCAGGAAGAGAGGAAGAAGGAGGAGAAGGCAAAGGGGCACGCAGAGGAGCAGTGGACGGACGCAGAGACATCCGGTGCGTGCCAGGGACAGGAGGAGGACGCTGACGCGAACCGCGACCACTAGTGCGTGCAGTGCAAACAGGCGACGCAGGACGAGACGCAGGCTCACGACGCTCAGTAAGACCTCCCGTCGGACCAGCGTAGGGAGAAGGAGCAGGCAAAGGGGAGGCAGGCTGTAGCTGTGACTGTGACGAGACTGGCTGTGGACCCTCTAAGGGAGGAGGAGAAGGACCAGGAGAAGGTGTAAGACCTAGAACCTGCTGCAGGAGCGGAACCAAGTACGGTCGGGGCCGCGTGGCGACGCCAGAGACAGCAGGGACATCACCAGTACCCCCAGCAAGAGTACCCGCTCCAGCAGCACCTCCAGCAGCACCTGAACCTCCAGCAGATCAGGAGCACTGCCAGGCGGACCGCCAGCGGTAGTCTCAGCGCTAACACCCTTAGCAGCACCAGCTCCAGGTGAACCCTCAAGCCCAGCAGCTCCAGTACCCACAGCACTAGCACCTCCGCGACGCGCGGCAGCAGCACCCTCTGCAGTCGAAGAACCTCCAGCACCAGCAGCACGCCTCCAGCGCCGGGCAAACCACTAACGCAGCTCCTGTGGGGAGAGTGGCTCTCGGCGAGACGAAGCACCTCCAGGCGGAGAACCTCCAGGCTCAGCACCCTCAGGCACAGCACCTCCAGGTGGAGCACCCCCAGGCTCAGCACCCCCAGTCTCAGCACCCCCAGTCTCAGCACCCCCAGGCTCAGCACCCCTAGACTCAGCACCCCCAGGCTCAGCACCTCCAGACTCCGCACCCCCAGGCTCAGCACCCCCAGGCTCAGCACCCCCAGGCTCAGCACCCCCAGGCCCAACACCCGCAGCAGCACCAGAGTCACCAGTGACCTCGACAGGCTCGACCGCGTCTACCTGGGACACACCTGAAGGGGCACGACCCTGAGGGGGGAGGGGGTCTACCGGGGGGGGACCTGGTACCAAGAAGAGCGGGGGCGGGGGGAGGGAAGGAGTGCGGTAGGGGAAGAGGCGGTAGTAGGGTACCGACTCGTCGAACGTGACGTCCTGGGAGGACAGAACACGTCGAGAGGTGGGGTGGTAGAACTGCCACCCAGGGGCGTCAGGGGGGAACCCCAGGAAGACGCAGGGAGAAGCGCGAGGGGACAGCTTGTCCGCAGACAGGTCGCGGACAAACGCCCGAGATCCCCAGACCCGGAACGCCGACGCATCGCCAACCTTCCCCGTCCACAGCAGGGCTGGGGAGGTCTCCGGCCTGGAGACCCTGGGGTGGAGGTTGATCTGATGCGCTGCGTACCTGACCGCAAACGGCCACAGAAAATGGGGGGCAGCCGCATGCATCATGGACGTACGGGCGACGTCCATGACCATGCCAATGCGGCGCTCAGCAATCCCATTTTGCTGCGGAGAGTCCGGAAGCGTGAAGGACTGGCGGATGCCTCGCGCACGATAGTAGGTACGTAGAAGGGTAGAGGAGAACTCTCCGCCTCTGTCCGAGTGGAGACGCAACACAGGAAAGTCGGAGCCAAAGCTCTGCCTGAGCTGAAGACGAGCTGCCAGGATCCAGTCGATCAGCGCCTCAGTGACCTCACCCTTACTGCGCAAGGGGAAGACTGTGGTGTAACGCGAGTAGTCGTCAACAACGAGCAGGAAGTAGCGCTCGTGACCCTGTCCAAGGACGCGGGCTGGGCCCCACACGTCCATGTGAAGCGTCTGCAACGGGGCCTCTGTCGGAGGAAACTGGGAGGAGTGAGGGGCAGCAGGCTGGCGCCCCTCGACACAGGGGACACAGGCAGGGCCAGGGCCCTGAGGAAGGGGAGGGAGGGACCGGGGAAGATCAGACACAAGAAGACGGGAGGCCATACCTCTGAGCCGAAGCAGAGAGGGGTGGCCAAGGCGGTGGTGCCAGAGGAGGGTCTCGTGAGACAGACGACGACACGAACAGGGGGCAGACTCAGGGCCAGACCTGGACGCTGCAGCAAACACCTGACCAGACGAAGGGACCCTACCAGACTCAGTACCTGGAGGAGAAGCAGTGGTCAGTGTGTATAGGCTCGACCCCGGCCGACGTGTAAACGTAGCCAGGTGGCGACCTGTGCTAGCCTCCGTGCAGTGTGTCACCCGCTGACGAGCAGGAGTGAACTGGTGGACACCCACATCCTGTAGGTCAGCACCACTCACCAGGTTCGTCGAGAACGAGGGG